AGAAGAATGCTCATGTTAAAATGAACAACTCAATGCCTTGGGTTTTAATGGTAAGAAAAGTTATTTTTGAGTCTAAAAAAGATAGTGATGTGATCTTATTGACTCAAAGAAAGGTGTGAGTGTATCAAAAAGATAAAGGTAATGTTCAAGAATTTCAAAGGGAGGTAATGTCAAAATTTGGTCTTTTTGGTAATGACCATGAGTTATTTTGGGTAAAGAATCAAGGTATTTTATTTTGGGATTTGAGACAGGATAAGAAAAGTCTAACCTTGCCATATGTCAAAAATCTATAATTCTTGAAGAATTAAAAGAATCCTTAATTCATTTAATATTCGAAGAACTAAAGATTAAAATTTGCTCAATTGCTCCACCTTAGAAAGTAGCATAACTTCAATCGTTTAACATGAAAGATTAGAGGCGTGTTCAAACAAAACAATCTTCTAAGTGCAAATGGTATATGCCATGCCCCCTTCTTCGGCTGTCCATACCCCTGAATCCATCAGAGTTTGGATCTTACGCTTCAGTGCCTTACAATTTTCAGAGGAATGTTTGGGGATCCTTATGTGGCAACAGCTTCAACATTGTAGCCCTTAGGAGATGGGTACTTTTTTCTCAGATCATCCTGGCAGGCTTAGTCCTACAATCAGCTGATCCAGCTCCCCCTGTATTGATTTCAGTTTTTCTTTAATTGTTAAAATCTTGCTTTCATGTGGTGTAATGTGGTTAAGACCACTTCATCGAATCCTCCGTGACTTAATTTCATGTTTATGAAAATGCTTAAAAATGTATATGAAGATGCAAAAATGCAAGAATGCATGAAATGTTCGAGGCATTGATCCAAGAAATGTGCCTGTTATTATGAATAATCCTTATTGGGGACAAAAATGTTTTATCTTTTAAGAGACAAAAATATCCTGACAGCTTCTGACATGTTGACTAATCTTCTGCTTTCGTCTTTCACCGGTTGAATAACCTGTCGAACCGCTCCGACCTCTCTGGATGAACCGTGAAAATGTTGAGTTGTTTTTCGTACTGGTCCAAGAAGTCTCGAATGATCGCATCTCGAGCATTTACTTTTGTTGAGCCTGTTCCCAACGAATTCGTCATTGGAGCCCTTAATTGATAGGAACTATGTGAAGTTCATTAATATGTTTCTTGAATTCGCCAGCAATGGTCTCCAATTTCAGCTATCATTTTGCCATTGTCGTGTTCAAAGGGACTTCCAAGATACATAACCTTCATCCTGCCCCTGCAACCTCTGTCAGTCAGTTCTTCAAAGATAAGCTTTCATTGTGCTTGATGTAGACCCGGTTCATTCTGAGTCCTTTATAATGCATCAGAGTGATATACTCTTCAATTGTGGGCACCACGTCTTCTGGATTGAATGTGACACATAGTCGCCTTGTAGACTATCCTCTGTATTTTCATCTCTTGTATTACAACACCTTTGTCCATGGATTCAGATTATTCGAGTTTTAACAAACACGTTTTAGTGGATCAATGACCTCTTTTAAATGATGCAAATAATGAAAACAAAATAAAAGAGAACAAAAGTAAAATAGAGTTAGTGAGATAAATCAAAACAATAATAAAAACGAAAAATCCTACCCCACATGATATCTACCCTGCATGCTTTAATTCCTACCCGGACATGATCTCTATCCCGCATGCTAATTTCACACAAATCCTAACCGCATATTTGTCTAGTTCACATGCTTTGAACAGAAAGTAAAGCAGGAAATAATTCCGGCATCCTAGGGTTTGAAATGAGGTTTTGAGGTGGGCTCTAACTTCTTGTAGTCTCCCGAGTTAGGTTCTAAAAAAACGGTACCCGAGTTCTCCTTGCTGGTGCCTCCTTAGGCTTACCAGACCCTTAGTCCTAAACCCATCACAGGCTTGTGTGGACTAAGTTAAACTCGAGAGGACACATTCCCTTATGCCCGCACGGTGAATAAATCCACACGAAGACATAAGGTATATGAATCCCGAAGGCTACTTGCTAGGCCCGCACGGTGAATAAATTCACACGAAGGCGTCGCTTTCACCCCCACTTAAATAGGGTTTGGAGCTCGGGTATAGAGCCTGAGATGAAAACTTTGAAAAATCTGAAATCATTAAAAAATGTTAGTACAACTATTTATTTGAAAAATAATCAAAGATAAATAATTGGAATCGAATAAATAAATTTAAATTTAAATTTACCGTTTTCGCATAAAAGACAACCGAAAATTAATTTCGGCCTGACTCACTTACCTGTCCCCAGCGGAGTCGCCAAGCTGTCGCAACCGTCTTTCGGTTGGGCCCCGGAATTGGGTTTCGACTTAGGAAAATGGATTGGAGTCGCCACCGATCATTTATTTAAAAATAAATGGGTTGATCGGATACCCTATTTCTTACCTGATCTGTGTCTTACCAAAAATATGTCGGGCTCGGGAGTCGGTTACGATCAAGGAAGGATTAACACCCTTGAACCGCCCTTTCAGTACCAATTAATTTTTCAGTTGTCTTTAATTGTGAAAATTGAAAATTTTAAATTAGAATTTAAAAATCCGATTCGAATTACTCACCTTTGATCAGTTGAAATTTATCTACAAAGTTAAAAATGTTAGAGGGAATAAATAAGTAAATATATAAATAAATACTAAATAAATCAAAATAAAAAAAATAATTTTAAAAAATGTTTAAAAATAATAATAAATAAACAAATAAATAAAAACAAATCAAATCAAAGAGAAAAATAAAATAAAATATAATAATAATAACAAAATGTTAATATATATATATATAAATAAAAAATAAGAGGTAAAGAATAATAAACATATATATATGGGGAAAAAATACAAAAAAACATATATACGAATATTGTGAATAAAAATAAATAAAAAGTCAAAATAAATAAATAAATACAAAGGGACCAAAATGAATGTAATTCAAGATGAAATGATTACACCAGGGATTAATCCCTTAAAATCCAAAAAATATGTTACCTTACACATGAGTCAAGCTCGTGGGCCCCTTATAAAATATAATTTAAAGGGTTTTTGCCCTTGCCTTCGATTTGCACAACATTGTTCCTTTTAAACTCAAATACAGGAAACAAAATTTGGAAATCTTAGCCTTTTTCACCTTTGATCGCATGAGATTGAACCGTTGGATCATGGTGAACTTCGATTATGTAGTTTCTCTTGTCGTCTTCTATTGCTTGATCGTTTGGAATAATCAAACGAGCCTTCAATCGTCGGAAAACGCCCAAAGTCGAAAGGTAAGTTTCTCCATTTCTCTTATTTTTCTGTTTTGCCTTTTCGGTTGCTGGCCTCTTTCTTCGTAGGTTTCTTCATATGTTTCCACCTCTTGCTCATCGCTGGTCATGGGTTCTTTTGTGGTGGGTTTTGGTTGTACTGGAAAACGGGGCTACGGTGTTGTGAGTGTTTATGTGTTGTTGAATGTGTTAGCTAAGTTTGGGAATGGAAGCTCGATGATTAAGACTGGCGCAAGGGTATACTATTTGGTAATATCGAGCCATGGCCGAGAGGCCATGACACCACTCTCCTCCCCCTCTAATGGTGTTGATTACCCATGTATTTATAGCTTAAAATTCCTATTTTAGACTTCAGTTTTTGAGTCATAATCGAACTGAACTTCTGTTTCTTGGTTATGGATGTGTCCTAGGTACCCACGTTGTTGATGGAGTAACGTTTGCCGGAAGAATCGGAGAGGAAGGCGTGAGGTGACGTGATACACATGGAGTCTTGGAGATGCGGCTGGACGTGTGGCTGGGTCTGTTGCACACTTGGCCTGGTGGATTTTGGTTCATCATTGGGCCTGTAAAAAAAAGGAAAATATGTAAATTACATATATTATATAATATATACATTATAGGGACGGAAATTAGTGTCTACACTACCTAAGCATTATTTTTTTCTACCCAAAATATTAATACTAGGCTCTATCTAAAATATTATTTTTTTTTACTAAAAATTAACTAATAAAATTAACATTTACAGTAAAACAAATAATATTTTACTAAAAACATTAAATATTAATATTTCTGATAATATATTTTATTAACAGTATATTAAATTGACGTATGCCAAAACTTTCTCTCATTCAAGCACCCAAGAAGTCAATACTAAAACCACGAAAGGACCTCACTTTCATTCCAAAGTCAAGCCCAAAGCCTTGACTGTCCCACAAAACAAATTTCGGCACCTCATCAACTCATGCATAGGTAGGATCACCTATCCAATCTAGTCAAAATATTTTAAGTTATTTTAGTTGATAAATTTTATTTTATAATTTAATTTAAATATAAAATTATTTTGAGTCAAATTTAATTTATAAAATTTGAGTTGAATTATTTGAGTTTTTATTTAAATTTAATTATAAATATTTATAATATTATGATATAATTTTATTCTAATTTAAACAATTTTCTATAATCACATACAATACATCTATATTTCTTCATATTTTTTTATATATGATATACATATATCATACAACTTGAGAGACTTAACTTAAACTTGTCATTCACGTTGTAACTAGAATAATTTAATTCGAGTTTATGATATTATAAATGAAAATTAATTTGAGTCGTTTTTTAATTAAATAGAATCAAAAAATTAATTTTTCAAATCAAAATTTGATTGCCTTATATGAAAGTTATCCACCATTGTTAGACCTCATTTTAGGTTAACCACCACCTTAACCCTTGAGAATTTAAATATGAGTAGTTATATTTATAAAGTATATATTAATACTATAAATTATTATTTTTTTGATAGGAATGGAAGGCCTCGCTAAAAACCCCCTTCTTGATTAAAGGAACTTAGTGGTAAGCTCCTTCGGAAGGAGGAAAAGAGTGCCTTAAAAACTTTATTGATAATATAATCTTACATAAGATTTAAACACTACACCACAATACATCCCATAAAACTTAACAACAATTTTCTAATAGACCTTCTCACTGGACCAGAAAATCCAGTGACAGGTCCTTACAGTCAACCTATCCCTTTCTTAGCTAAGCTATCAGCCTCCCCATTGCTCGCTCTTGGAATCCACCTCACTGAATGAACCTTGCCATTTGAAAGAGTCAAAATCTGATTAACCAAAGACAAGTAGAAAACAGGAGCCAAAGCCGGTGATTTAATCCATTCCACTACCGACTTGTAATTACTCTCAACAATCAATCTCCCAACAGAAACCCAAACTGAAGCCAAAAAAATTTCAATACCCCTTTTAATAGCCTTTAATTCAGCTAGCGGAGGAGTAACTTGGTCCACTTTCTCTGAAAAAGTCAAAAGCGTGCAACACTCCGAATCTCTCAATATACCTCCTATGCCTCCACCCGAGCCTCCAAGCCTAACAGCTCCATCAACGTTCATCTTAAGAAAATCAACAGGGGGGGAATCCAACGCAGGTTATGACCAACTCTGTCTAAAGTTAACGAAAACCCATCTGCTAGAGATGGATAACCAATCAGCAAATCCTCCTGAATATTAACCGTAGGAAACTTTGCTAAAAACCATTTTGATAGCCTGAATCTAACTGTAAAGAACAGAAACATGCTGTCCAGGTTAGAACCTTCGAACACTATAGCATTCCTGGCTTTCCAGATTGACCAGAAGATAACACCTGGAATAAACTTCCATATCGTCGAGTTTCCCCTCAACTCACCCCAGGAACTAAGCAAAGCAGGAGGGTCTTGAGGAAGAACAAACGAAATATCCCAGAAGCTAGCTATTTTATTCCACAACTTCCAAGCAACAATACAGGAAATAAATAAGTGTTGAACTGTTTCCTCGTGAATCTTGCAGAAAGGAAACTGTATATCCTCCCCTAAAGAAACTCCTCTCTTAATCAACTCAGCCTTAACTGCCAATTTCTGATGTGCAAGTTGCCATAGAAAAGCTTCCACTCTCGGTGGAGCCAAACCCTTCCAAACTCCTTGTAGCCACACATCATTACTCCCTACCTCCGAGCCAATGTTTTCCCTGCATGATTTAACCGAAAACAGTCCATCTCCACTAGCAGACCAAGAAAGAGAGTCCTCCACCAGCTCTGACAGTTTGACATCCTTTATTTTTGTCATCAAAGCTAACCACTGGTCCAATTCCCAATCACTCAGATTCCTTCTAGTTTGGACATTCCACTCCCAACCACTCGGTCCATAGCTGCCAAACTCAACAATCTCCCCCCTTTATTAATGGAAAGCACATAGATTCTATGAAAAATTATTTTTAGAGGGACCTCATCAGCCCAAACATCATTCCAAAAAGAAATTGATTTCCCATTACCTACTTGCAGCTTCGAATTCAATCTAAGAAAGTTCCCTACCGAATCATTCTTAGAAAAATTATTAGCAATGCCTCTCAAGATCCATGAAGATTTCGGAGAAGTAACCTTTCCAATAGACATAGTGTTCCAACTGATCTTTTGCTTACTACACAACACAGATTTCCAGAGAGAGTTTTTGTCATTGGCAAATTTCCACACCCACTTGCCTAGTAAAGCCCGGTTAGTAAGATTCAAATCAAGGACACCTAGTCCACCACAGTTCAAAGGCCTGCAAACCGTGTTCCAATTTACCCAGTGAATCCTCCGCTTATCCCCCTTCTCACCCCAAAAAAAGTTAGCCATTAAGGAATTAAGCTTCTTTCCGATATTGCACGGCATTTTGAAAAGAGATAGAAAGAAAATCGGCAAAGAGGTTAGCACCGACTTCAACAGGACTGTCCTCCCAGCCAAAGACAGACAAGACGCTTTCCACCCCGCAAGTTTGGAACTAAAATTCTTAAAGACCGGATCCCATAGAGCCTCTGTGTTTTTCCTAGCTCCCAAGGGAAGTCCCAAGTATTCTGTAGGTACAAAACCAACCGAACAACCCACTTGTTCTGCCCAATCCGATAACACTCCCTCTTCCAAATTGATACCGAACAGCTTACTCTTTGCTAAATTGAGGTGTAAACCTGTCATAATGCTAAAGATCCTCAGCACCCTTTTTACATTCTTGATCTGATTAATGGAGGCTTGACAAAAAATTATTAAATCATCGGCGAATTGTAGATGGGACAGCCTGGTAGAATTTCCAGAATTCCCCATAATAATACCCTGGAATAAACCCCTCTCGATTGCTTTAGAAAGCATCAAGTGTAGCATCTCGCCTATAATTTTGAACAAAAGTGGAGAAAGACTGCAGCCTTGTCTAAGACTTTTTTCCATTGCAAACTCCTCAGAAGGTGACCCGTTAACAAGAATCGAAATAGAGGCTGTAGACAGACATTGAGTAATCCACGATGACCATCTGTTTCCAAATCCCATTTCTTTCATTGCTCTAAACAAAATAGGCCATTCCACAGTGTCGTATGCTCTTCGGAAGTCAACTTTAAAAACTACCCCTTGTAGTCCTTGTTTTCTCCAGAAATCAATACCTTCGTTCGCAATGAAGGCGCAATCCAATAACTGTCTCCCCGGAATAAAAGCAAATTGGGATTGACTTATTATGTCGCCAACACAGCCACTCAACCTTTTAGATAATACTTTTGAGAGAATCTTGTATAAACTACCTACAAGGCTGATTGGTCTAAAATCCTCCACACTTTCCGGATTAGTCTTCTTCGGAATGAGTGTAATAAACGCGTGATTAACTCCGTGTTCCCATTTTCTACCTATGAAAAAATCCTGGAAAAACTTCAATACATGTTCCTTTAAACCCGGCCAACATTTCTTGAAGAAGCCCATGGTAAAGCCATCCGGTCATGGTGCTTTAGAACTATCCGAAGAAGCTATCGCTTGCCATATTTCTTGTTCCGTGAACTGCTCCTCAAGTTTTAAAGATTGGAACCCTGATAGCATAGCAAACTCCAGGGATAAATCCTCTACACCCAGCGTTGACATAGAACTATAGGATTCCTTAAAAAAGGCCGCAATATGCAACTTAATAGATTGCGGATCTGCAACTTCAGAACCATTGATCTTCAAACTAGTAATTTCATTTCTCCTACTCCTGTTTAGAGCAGTTAAATGAAAAAATCTAGTGTTTCTATCCCCATCTTTAATCCATTTCGCCCTTGATTTCTGGAACCAGATGCTTTCTTCGATCCTATACAACCTCCATAGATCCGATCTGAACTGTAGCAGATGCCCCCAGTCCTGTTGGCAGAGGTCCCCAGCTTGAGCTTTAAATTCAAGATTATTTATCTTCAATTCCAGATCTGCTATGGACTCAGAAATTCCATTGAACTTTCTGCCCGACCAACTTCTAATCGCTTTTTTAGTTTCTTGAAGAATGCTGAAAATGCCCCTACTCCTTCTACTCCTTCTACTCCCCCTCGAAACATTCAAGGATGATTTAACTATATCCTCAAACCCTTTTTCCTCTTGAAGATAGTTAAAAAATCTGAATGTTATTTTTAAAAATCTAAAAATAATTTTATTTTTAGAAAAATAATCAAAAATATATAATTTAACTAAAATAAGATGAAAGGACAACATATTGTGTCATTTTAGGTAGAAGAAACGAATGAGTTAAGGTCAGTCGTTATAAAAGTAAAGCAAAACGGCTCATTTTTTAAGTTTTGCCCAATAAATTATTCTCTAGTTCAGAACTGAAAATGCCAAAAGACTGAACTATCCTTCTTTAATATCATTTATTACGCCATTTTCTTTGTTCCTGATATTAATGACTAGAGTCTGGAGGAGAAGCATAACGTGGTTATCAAGGGAAACTGAATCTGTATTTGTATTTGGGTTTTGTGAGATTTTGTGGGGCTTTTGATGGGTTTGTTCTCATTCTTCTTCTTTTTCAAGATTTTCTTTCTATTGAATTGTTTTAGACAATAAAACTTGGAACTTTCCGTCTGGGTTCCTTCACCAATTTCATTTCTACTGTGGGTTTCATTTTTTTTTCTTCTTCAATTTTCGATTCCAATTCCTTAGATTTCTTATTCAGACAAGGTGTTTTGATTTGGACATTGGAGTAAGGTTTAACAGTGAAAGTTTACTAGTTTCTTCATGGAGTTCCGTTCCAGGAAGTGGGTTTTTTTTAGTTCTTGAAAAGTATTTTCTTCTTTTTCTTTTTTGTGGGATTTATCTTGTGAGAGAGGATTAAAAATATGTCTGGTGGGACACCAGTTGCTGGTGGATATATGAGGCAAAGGCATAGTCAAGGATATGGATCAGGCAATGAGGACCTTGAAGATGATGCATGTTCTAGGTTACAGCCTCTGTCACCAGAAACTCTGAGAACTAGAACTTGGACTGAGATTCTGGAGAATTTGCTCTGGATTGCTTCAGCAATCTTCATAATCTACTTTGGTGATAGGCACTCCAATTTGATATATCTGCTCTGGCACGACGAGCGAATCAGAAGGTAACTGAGTGGATCAAATTTTAACTTGGTGTGGTTTAGAGCAGTCATATGTTGTATTTGTAGTGTGATTTGTAAGAGATATTGGTGTTAGTTAAGTGCCCATAATGCTTGAATGTTGTTATTTGGCTGTTGGATAAATGCTAATATCCTGTTCTATGTGACTGTGACTTCTGAAAACATATAATGCCCCTTCACAAGGTTCATTATTATTTTTGTTTCGGTTGCTTCAATGTCAAAGTTAAAAATAAAACAACAATTAAGGGTTCCTCTGATTGTTGCTTCAGTTGGTTCAAAAGTTGAACTTCTCTGGATTCATTTGATAGTGTTGCACTAAATCGGTGGACTTAAAAGTAGAACTAAATTTTCTGTTGCAGAGCTCCAAGTCTCCATCTTAATTGTTGCTTTGCACTTTGTTCCTATGTCTAATCGAGTAGTTAATATTTTGGGTTTAAATGATTGTTTCTATGTGCAATTCCACTTAGATCAGTTTAAGCACGGAATTTATGTACACTATAAAGGCAGCTCCAGCTTGTTAATAGAGAAGGCAAGGAGCTCTGTTGTTAATAGAGATATTAGATATCTTTTTTTTTCGATTCATCTAAATGTCTGGAAGAGTTTGTTTTGAAAAGATTTACCTTTTGGACAATGTTTCTTTTAAATATTACATTTACTGGTTAAACGCTACATTATGGAAACATGTAATGTCTAATGTTTTGTATCTTCTTTACATCATCTTATTGTGACCATATATATGTTTGTACTTGTGCATGCATGTACATCCCATGATAAAATCAAGCACTTTGCGAACAATCATATTGTTTACAGAAGAATGGAAGAAGTATCCGCAATTATTAACTAATTGAAATTGCTTATTGACTATTCTATTGCAGTTGAATTTATTCATTTTATCATGTTTAATATTTTATTTTATTTTATATGTTAACTTTATTATATATTAACACTCTTAGCTATGTCTTCTGGATGATGAATTTTGTTTGACATTATATGATGAATTGATGATATTGAAACACCATGTGTTTGTTGTGTGTGCATGTTTTTCTGTTATTCGTTATAACCCATGTGCTTTTCTTTGATGTGATAAGGCACTTCTAACCAGGGACTTCATAATGGATATGATACCAGACAAACTTATGGAAAATATGTTTTATTTAGCTAGTTCTCATGTTCTGCTCAGTTGAATTTTATTAGCATCACTTTGTAAGTTGTGCAGCTTGTATCATTCTGCACTCTTTTATGACGCAGGATCGGAATACATATCATGATATAAATAGCTTTCTAACAGTTGAGATCACATATCCAAATGTATGTTCATTGAAATCACTCGGAATCATGCATTTTATGTACCTTTACATAGCCTTGACATCATGTTAGCTGGATTATGGACATGTTGAACAATTGCCAGAAAAGTGAAGTTCATCCTTTGTAACCAACAGTCTACCTGTGAGAACCTTTGCATTTTAAATGCAATTGTCCTGAGTGGTGTCAATAGCCTTGTAAAAGTTACGGCTGAGGCCTCATTCAGCTGTACTATCAAGAAAGTGCTACCGTGATACTGATCGTTTTCTTATGTAATGGTGTATTGGTGTTGATGGCCTTTGTTAGGAACTAGGATCTAAAAGTATTGAACTTTTTGCAAGAAATGCAGTTTACTTTTTCGTATGATTTCTTCTATGATATTATTGCCAGTGGAAAATTTACTGGTAGTATCTTTTCCCTGTTTGAATTAGAATAGTTTTCCATTTATTCTTTCTTGTTCCTGGAACTTTTATGTAAAATTGGAAAGTTTGTATATTTCCTATTTGATAAGTCTCGGTGTATATATGTCATGTTATTCTGTTGAATAACAAGCCTTAAATTATCTATTTCTTGAGAATTTGTGTGATGACATTGTGGTTTCTCCCCGAGGCCTGTTCCGTGCTGTTGATTTTTCCAGTTATCTGCTGTGGCTGTGAACCAAACCTAACTGTTTTGAGGGTCCTTCCAATTTATCTAACATGCATTGGATAAATGGCCTCTGTAATATACCAGTGAAACTTTTATTTTTTTTCTGTAAATTTGTGATAAAAATATTTTCATTATTCATTCACTAATTGATTAGTTTAACTTTTGAATAGCCCTAATACTGCTTTTAGTTATGAGTTGCAACATTTGCTTCATTTTCCGTTTTTCGTTGCTCCACATAGAGAAACTGTTTATATATTCATGGGTGTGATTCAGCTTCTATAAAAGATAATCACTTGTCATTTAATTCCTGTGCAGAATGCCTTTGTACCTTGGCTTAACTGGAATTGGATTGGATGTTGCCCTCTTCTTTTATACAAGTATGTTATCATGGAGTGTGAGAAGGTTCGACGATAAGTGGGAATTCTTGTGCATCATTGCTTTTCCATTTCTTACCTTGCTCGGACTTGTCTCGTTTTGCTTGTAAGGAAAACGATCATGTTATTTCTTCATTGATTCATTGTGGCATCTATAAATTCATTCATATTTTGCTAACCTTTCTTCATACAGGCTTTGCTTTGCGTTGTGGCCTATTTGGGGTTTCTTGACCTTTCCTCTTCTGGTACAGTTCACGGCATTTATTTTGTTGTTTTCACTTTACCGATATATGACCTTCGGAAGCCGTTTAATGTTCCTTTCTTTTTCTCGTATAGTTCACACTCTTTATGGCTGGCCTAGTTCTATACCCTCATATCATGATCGAGACATTGAGGCCACAAAACGATTCTTTCCGTATAGACTAAGCATTCCGGTATAAAGACAGTACTGACTTACATGAAGATAGAATCTAAACAGATAGTTGGCAGCATCAGCTATTGCCTGGAAAGTGTTTCTTTTAGGATTCTGACTTAGCTTCTCGTCACAGTTTCTCTCCTTTGGTGTGTCGATGAATGATGATGTGGCTGATTGTCATGAATTAGACTCATCTCTTATACCTTGCCTCGATAGTGCTTGATTCACCTTGTTATTGCATCTTAGGATTTCGAGTACAACGATCGAATACCAGAGGGAAGGTCTATTTGACTGTTAAGTTTGAGTTCATGTGATGGTATCGAGGTATCGTTTGGATAGATAGACATGATTGTTCTTTCAGATGAAATTCTTTTGTAGTGAAGCACATCTCTTTCCCTGTGTTTTCTTTTCCGAAACAAAGAGGATATAATGGAACGAGTGTCATTTTCTACTGCAGCAGTTTTAGCTCATTTGTTATTGTTTGTTGTAATTGGCTCCTGTTGCATTTTCAAATATACATGCATTAATGATATGTATGTGGAGGGATTCATTTATACAATATGCATGCACGTGCGTTAGAAACTTTTGTTTACAAAAAGATGTCTCAAAGAAAGATATGATTGGATGTTACAAATAAAAGGCTTTTATAATAAAGTTATGAATGCTGTTTTGTGTGGTCATTCTGTATCAACGTCTTTCCTGCTCATTTTCTTTTCTTTTACTTATAAATACAGTTACATTTTTTTTTAATTTTGAGAAGCATTAAATAAAAGAAAATGAGTTTTATATGTGATTAACTCTTATATTAATCTATTTTACACACTTATATTTATATAAAATGAGTTTTTTTATTTGAGTTCTGTTGAGAATAATCATTATACCTTCATGAGGTGAATTTCCGTACAAGATATTAAGTTACTTCGAGGCTGTCATAGAGAGGTGAACTGTACAAGCATAGAGTATATAATTGATTAAATTTATTTTTTATGTAATAATTAATTAATAATTTAAATGTAATTTAACTTAAAATTTTAAAATATACATACGAGATGAATTCATTTGAAATTGAAAAAAATGAGTGGTGGGATAAATTTTTTTAGAAGAAAGATTATTTTTTTGATGAAATTTTGTTTTTATTTGGGAATTTAGACACACGAAATTGGGAAATTTTGGTGTCAAATTCATTTTTTTAATATATTTTGGCAAATTTAGAAGTTGGGGGCTGGTGGGATCGGTGTCCAATAAGATATTTTGGGTTAATTGTGCTCAAGCTCCACCAGCAATCATTTTTTCTACTTTGCAATTTGGTTTTCGTTTTCTTTCATTTTAGTCATGCTTAATTGTAAATATCTTCTTGAGTTTTCAATTCAATGCAATTTAATCTTGTATACATTCTGTTGACAGCTCATGTATTGTATGTTATAACTAAGGGTGAAATCATATTATTTTACTAAAAACATAGGTAAGTTGTGCGAATGTTTTATCCTATGCGATGGTTGCCCTTTCTCTGTGTATATTAATATTGTTGATCACATGATATCATTTTTGCATAATATATATGTTAGCCTCATGTGCATCATCTGACCTAGTTACATAATCGGATTAAGGGTAATACCCTTTTAATTTAAAATTGTTGGAATGACTTTTCTTAACTCACTAGATAGTCATTTTCGATGATTTTAAATTAAGAGTATATCCCGTCAGTGACACCTAAATAAATTTTGATTCTTCACCTTAAAATTTGGGAATGAAAGAAAAATAAATGTTCGACTATTTAAATTTGTTGAGAAAAGATCGTTAGAACTTACCTAAAGATTTGGTCTTAGTATTTTTAAATATTCGAATATTCTTTATCTTTCTAATGGCTTGGTAATTTTAATTTAATTTATTTGGTGCTTCTGAATATTATAAAATTCATATCTTTATTGTTTTAAGGGATCATAAACCAAGTTAAATCCGAATTTGTAAATTTCATTGTAAATACATTAATTAATCGACTAGGTACCGATTTAGGGCGTTGTGAGGGTGTTAATCATTCCCCACACATAACCGACTCCCGAACTCATTTTTTGGTAACGCAGACCTCTATTTGTCGTTTTAATTGAAATTAATTTTTATTTAAAATGGCAAAACGTTTTTGGGTGCCCAGTCACACCCTAATCAAATATTGGTGGCGACTCATAGAACTGTATGTTTTTTATCGTAAAGGAATTCTCAAATTTTCGAAACGAGATGTTTTCTAAAATCGCATTGTTTTTAATTAAAAATCAATCATGAAGAAGATAATTAAAAATAGTATGGTTTTCAAAATCTCGCTTCTTTAAGAAAAAAATTGTTTCGACACATTCTAATTACTTTTAATTTTCCTTTCTCTCTTTAATGTGCATAATTATTAAATTAAATGTTAATTTTAGAATCTTTTATTTTAGTCACTCATGTTTAATTATATACTTCTATATATATATATATATATTATAGTTGTTTTAATTAGATCCTTGTATATTATTTAATTTATTTAAATTATATTTTGTAATTTCATGTTTAATCAATTTGGTCCTTAAAATTTTACTATAATACCCAAACTTTATAAATTTTTGTTCACCAACTTTTTAAATGAATTCAAATTAGTCCATTTTTATATTAATTTTAACTTAACATTTTATAATTATTTTGATTTGATCCCTCATCCATGCTAGTTGTTTAATTTATTTAAATTTCAATTTGTAATTTCATGTTTGCTCAATTTAGTCCTTAAAATTATATTTTTATTAAAATTGACCCATAATTATGTATATTTTTTCAATTTACTCCAAATTATATACAATTACAAATTACAATGTCGCTCATGAATGACGAAAAAATAATTAACCTAAAAATGATCCGATTTGAACTCAATACGTACTCGGTAAGATCCAACTTGAATTTTGTTTGTCAATGATGTGACTTGATCTAAACGATATCCGACTGAAGTCCATCTGAACCTAAATTAACCTGGAATTTAACTAATTCGGACCTGAACCATTTTGACATGAATTGACATTGATCCGAACTAAAATTAACCCGATCCAAACCCAAATTGAATTTGATGTCAAATCAACCTTAAAATGACCCAGACTGATTTTGACTAGGATCCGACCTGATCTGAGTTGAATCATAAAATTGACCTGACACGACTTGTATCTAATTTGACCCGACCTGACAGGATTCGACTAAACATGAACGATTACCTAATTTTACATCCCTATCCTCAATAAAGCATATTGGGTTGTACATGTAAGATTTATTTACGAGTCCGACAAGTTTTACTCCGCAATTTTGGCCCGTAGGCGGGCTAATTATTTAGTCCAATACGACACTAGATATTTTATTTTGGGAATAACAACATTTGTTATAGTAACTTTGGAATTCGTCACGTGGGCTTGACGAATTCTAAAAAATTATTTTTTATTGGAATTTGTCACTTCGTGGGCATGACAAGTTTACCCTGTATTGTAGCATTCACCGTAGATTCCAAATTAATTTTGAAGATAGACCTAATTGACTATATTTTTACCTGCATGACCTATTGGCCAATTTTCCCTTACACTATTTTATAATTTATATACTAACTTGATTTTTGTGTTGCTTTTCTTTCTTTTGCATATGCGAAAAATACATTGATTTAGAGTCGGTCACTAGAAATAAAAGTTGATTGAAAAAGATCTTATAATCCAAAGATGAGTGTAATTCAACAGTTGATGGGACCTTATGATATAAAGCAACTTTTAAGTCGAAGGATTTCTTCTGATACAAGCTTACAGTTACAAGTAAATCCCATATTCATGAATGTTGTTTTATGAGATCATCTCTAAATCAACATTTCTGCAGCTTTACATTCGAACATTCGACATTGCTTTCTTATTACATTATCATTCACATTTAGGATCCAAGTCATAAAGTCCTGGAAAACAAGTTCAGGATGAAGTGTGCCATTGAATTTGAAGGGGTCGTTTATTTATGAAGTGGTACTAATAACGTTTTCTGTTTCAATGTGCAACGCGGAGTCGATTACCAGCTAACAAAATACCTTGATCCAATCTGTTGGCTGCGGTGAAATCCCAAGAGATCATGAAAGACGAAAGGATATATCGAGACGGTCACCTGAAATTGCTTTATTCTGCCAATCTGTTAAACCTTACAAATCACAAAGAGAATATACTAAACAAGATCACTAGCACAGAAGGAATCAAAATACTCGACATATAAAGCTATGATGTATAGAAGTCGACTATTCGTGGGAAACGCTAAGAATCTTATGCTTTTCCAGATCCTGATAAGTGAGATTTTGCAAGGGAGATGCACATCTCCTTCTGCTTCTTGTATTCGTTGTACCGCGAGAAGAAATACTCGATATAATCAAAATCAATTGGAGACATCCTTGCCTATGATTAGAAGGAAAAAAATGTCTCAAGATGGATGTCATGGTTTCTGGGGAATGAAAAGAACAAGCATAGTTGGGGAATGAAGATACCTGGATTATGGCCCATAATGCCCAATATATATGTGAAGCTAACATGAACGTATTTGCCTCCACATAGAGAGCTTCAAGATCTTTTTCGGATACCTGTGGTTAATAAAAGGAGCTTTAGTGTATAGATTTTTCAATTTGGAAACATAAAACACAGTATAAGTTATAAAATCTAACTATATCCGTCAGTACGAAAGACTCTTTAAAGGAAAATACGTAAACAAGATCGAGTTATAGCAATATTCAATTTGCGTTTCATAGTTTGAAGCCTTAAATCACAAACACGTGATTATCTGCACGCTTGCTGATAACCAAGTTACTATGGTTCTAAGACCTTTCTAATATGATAACGAATATTCTAACTGAACACGCACGCAAAGAATGCTCGAGAAAACATGTAAAAATAACTAAGAGATGCCCTTACCTCGTATGGTTTTTCAGGTTGTAAGTAATGCCTAAAAAAATGATATTGTTCATCTTTACTGGGATACCTGTGCATTGACACCATGTTTGATAATCAGTAGGTAAACGCCAATCTATTCAAGAATTCATCATTGTTGCACAAGAAATCATGGAGAATCGCAATGCAGAAAATATAGTAGAAAGAAACGTACAAGCTATAGTCACAGTCATAGCCTGCATATTCATTGAAGTGATTTCCGATGTCATACCCTCTGTAGTTGTAAGACCCATACTCAAAGTCTATGAAGTAGAGTTTTTCTGGACATTAACAACATTAATAATTAAGTCAGCACACAAAAATTGAAACAATATTCTTAAGTTCCATCCAATAGTTAGACACCAACTCAATAGCACATTCTTCCGTCTTTAGGTTACTGGTTTCGTGAGACGTCCTGTTCCTATTTGTTTATCATGGTAACAACCCAGTGTTTCTAACTTTCTGGTAAGCAATAAGATTAATAATAAACTTCTTACAGGGATAAAGGTATAGCCAAATAGTACATCCTTGAATGTGTGTCATACCACACACTACTTTGCACTTGTTTTGAGGGTGTATTTCGTATTAGATAAAAGTATTGACAATATTTCTTGGATGCTGACTAGTGCACAACTGATGTAGTTTCAAGTAATAAGATATGAAAATGCCCACATATGGATGCATTTCTTTCTCATCTTTTTTTTCTCCCCCTTTGATTCTTGCATGCTTTGAAGAATGTGGCAAACATATCTAAGGCATACTACACAAACTTATTTTGGTTGGAGATAGACAATTACAAAAGAAAGGTCAAATATGGCATCATGTGGTCAATAGGCCTTATCTTTAAGAAAAATCTGGTAAAACTTATTGTTACATTTTTGCAGGATTTACACATTGCTAACAGCCTATATACCCGCTAGATCTCGTATTGGCATTGGAATATTCTCAATTCTGCATGCATTGGTGTTTTGTTTTTTAAGAACTACTATGCAATAGTTTACAGATACTATTATTCCTTCATATGTCTAACCAGCAGTGTTGGTTCAGTTTTCATTAAATATATTCTCTAGAGCGACAATCAAACCCAATATCAGCAACTGAAAATTTCTTTGGATAAAGACACTGCACTGCACCCATATTGACATCCATGACTATGCCAACCAAGCTTCCTGTTTACAACTTAACATTGTCAGATCTACCACCGCGTAATGTTCTATCTTTAAGAACCATTATGCAATAGTTTGTAGATATCGTTTATGTTATGCCTAACCAGCAGTGTTGCTTCACTTGTTGCTACTGATAATATGTTTATCTATTGATTGTACAAAGTGCAAAAACTAAACCCAATATCAACAATATGGAAATATGCTAGGATAAGGACACTGAACTCATCTTGAAATATGAGTGCAAAAGATACAACCTAAACATGAATATCACATATGGACCTTCTTTGAGTGTGAACAGGACGAGAAGAAAGATGCCAGGCTGGCACAGGAACAAACTCAAAATTGTAAGATCAGGCATACCTTGTTCATCATTAAGCATCAAATTACCAGAAAGTAAATCATTGTGAGCAAACACCACTGGAGCATTGAGAAGGCCTGCCAATTCCTGCTCCATCATCAAGAGACACTCTTGTAAACAGATAAACTTGTTGATGTTGAATCAAAACATATAATCAGAGATACATAGCACCTTCCCTTCATCAGCACCAGATGAAAAAAAAAGAGATCTTACCTTAAGCTGTGTAGCTTCCCTATGCACTTCCTCGAACGAAATTGTCTCGTATATCTTCTGTTTATCAGTATCTTCAAACTGGAGAGAAGATGCTGCAAAGGGAGGCTTCATGGGTTAGATATACATCGAATGCTGCTAGGTAATAATCTTAAGAGAAAACTAAATGAGTCCAGCCCCAACATTGCTAATGACAATTGGCAAAAGCAGACATAATCAATCAAAACTCCAGACAAGTGATACTCTCCAAAAAGCCAAAAGTTGAAGATAAACAAAACAAAGAAGACAAATATCAGAGCCACAACAACCAGAAGACTGTCCATTTCATTTTTTTACGGAAACATGTAAAAGAAGTCGGTTCTCAAACCTTTCTCAAAGAACTTAAAGAGATCAACCCATAGTTGAGGTTCTTTAGAACCTGGAATTTCCACTTGATGGAATCTTCGAAGTTGCTTAGCAATTTCAGAAGCCAGCTTTGGCTTTCTCATGTCTGGCAAGGGGGAAAATACGTAAAAAGTATATTAGTTCACAGCTAGCAGGCCCAACAATAAATGGCAGTTCAAGTACAACAATTGTCAGTATTAATGGTAGAAATTAGTTGCCACAGAAGTCAATGCCTAATAGACTAATTAATTGTGGCATCTAGGCCAAATATTGATGATAGTCATGAAATAAATAGGACCATAAAAGGTTCAAGAGGCAGATAACTTTGTTACTGATGTTGCGAACATAGAACATGAAACCAAGATGCTCACAGGCATAAACCCTCCCAAATAACCGGTGTTTAAAGAATACAACTTCATGTGCAATGCCTACTCCCATAGCAGACCTCTCATGCTTACCTGATGCAGTTAAGGTACGTGCATTTATAAAAGATTGTACCATCCCATTTCCAAATACACCAAGCAATTTGGCACCAAATCCTGCAGCCGAGAGGTATTTGATTGCCTAAACACAATATCAAGATGCAAATTTAGAATGAAATGAAAAGGTCATCAAACAGAAAGGCATTGATGGAACCAAAAAAACTAAAAAAAAAAGAGTTGGATGCACCATCATAACTAGCAATAATTTAGTTCCAAAAACACCAAAAGACGTACAAAACTATCTTTTGAATTCCCATCGTACCTGAAATTGTTAGCATATCCCTACTAAATGCATGTAAGCAAGATAATATCAAAACAAATAAAAAATAAACAATTCATTTGGCTAAACCAGACTACATATCCATGAAGTCATTGACACCTTAGTTCACCAAAACACTTCCAGAGAAGATTCAGAGTTTAGAGCTAGGAAACACAACACTGACAAGTTTTGCGTAAATTTTTAAGCAATGTTTTAGCACTTTATATTATACCTACCAAAATCCATGAACTAAAATTGCAATTCTCCATAAGGAAAATTTTCTACAAATAAAAAGTAACAAAAAGCATCGGAAAATACCGTCAACTCACGTTCCCGGTTGATGACATAATCTGTGTTAGGTCCATATAATCTAACTGTTACAGACACATTTTCTCCATTTTCTTCCTTCACAGAAACCTTTAGCACTGCATTAAATTGTTCATGGTTAGTGAATAATCTGCCACAAAATGGATCAAAAACAGAAAACAGAAGCAGAAAATATAACTGTATAAAATAAACACAAAAGGCAACCAAACTCTGGTTTTGCAGCTCTAAATACGGACCATTCCTTTTTCCTTTTTCCTTTTTTCTTTTCCAATTTAAAACGCAATAACTGTAAATTAAGTATGAAAATCTGGTCCAATAAATATGAATACTACAAATCAATTTAGCTCGCTAATCTGGAGAGAGCAAAAGTTTCCATAAAAAATATAACAAACATAAAAAAGCAAAGCGCTCACAAAGATTCGTGATGCCGCCTGATACAGTTTCGACGGAGAAGCAGGACTCGTTATAATTCGCCCATTTCGGAAACAGATCCTTACACAACGCGCTGCAAAGATGTATAAACCGAGAAAAATGTCAAAAAAGTCAAAACAAACTCGAATTTCCGGGGCGTTTGAGCTGCTTGTAATTAACTTAAACATAACGAAGCAAATATCGAAGATCCGATGTTTTCAAATGAGAATCAAAGCCTATATAACAAGCTAAGCGATAGAAACGAGAGAAAAAAGCAAGAAACGGAGAAGAGAAAAGAAAGACGAACATGACGCGAGGGACCATGAGGGGAAAAGAAAGAGCGGTATCAACCAAGAGATTAGAGTGAGGGATTGAATCGTCGACGGTTGAAACGCCGTTGACGCTTTGCTTGGCACGGTTTGCTTCCATGGCGGTCCAGATGTTCTCGGTTGCTCCCATTGGCGTGCAATGCTTAGAGCTTATATTAAACAAGTTCGGACAGAATTCGAAAGCAGCGAGACTTTCGGAGAAGGATATTTTAATATAGGGTGAAGTGGGAAATTTTTTTGAAATTTTGGAAAATGATGGAATTCAAGGGAAAAAGACGGGTATGGTCCTCCTATAATTGTAATTCGTTTAATTTAATAATAGGTACCTCAAAGTATACTGTATTTTTCACTGTTTTCTTTTTCACGTATTGTAATACTCAAATTTTAACTAGTGACTAAAATAAAAAATTTGAAAGTTTAATGGTTAAAGTATAAAGTTTAAATGTTTAGGGACCGGGATTGTAATTTTTAAAAGTTATAGGTTTTAGTTCGTAAATGAACCGTTTGGTTTAAAACGAGGATTTTTGTGGGAATCTGATTTTCGGTATAAAATTTGTGTTAAAAACTATAAAGCGATAAAATTCGGTATTAAAATCATATAATCAGATCGAACCGGAATTTTAAGAAAATTTGAAAGATGTTAGAAAATGGTTAGAAATATTATTTTCATATTTTAGATCAGAGAAATTTGGCTCATAACTGTACAATTTTTCATATTTGACCGAACAGTGGAATTTTAATGACTAAAATACAAATTTCGAAAATTGCATGGCCAAATTAGAAAGTCAAATTGATTCATCTTTGATTAAAAAATATTTTAATGGAGAATATGAAAATGACATTTGATAAATTTTAAGATTCAATAATGGTAAAAATGAAAATTTTCAAGAATTGAATTTTAAATTCAACTAAATTGGTTAAATTGTCATGTGTACTAGAAAATGTCTAAAAAAATTTAGATTTCTTCTTCCTCCGACAGCTGCTGCCGTGAACCCCTTCAAGGTAAGTAAAAAAAATTCTTTTCATTTTTTGAGCTATTTTAGTAATATTTTGGAAAAAGTTGTGAAATAGAAAAATGTTCTACATCAAATTCTCTATCATTTGGTACCAATATTTCATAGTGAAGATGCTTATGTGTTGAGATTGAAAGTTAGGGTTTATGTAAGGTTTTGTGATTTTGAAGAATTGATAAAGGATTTTTAGGTTTTTGATGTTGAAGATTAATTTTCAAGCATGTGTGATGTTTAAAATCATGTGTAGTGCTTTGTATAGGATTCGACCATACCTAGGATTTTAGGATATTGGTTTAATTTGGTTTAATTTGGTTTAATTTGATGTTGTTATGGTTAGAGTAACATGAATTTAATCTAAGAAAGTTGAATTCATGCTTGAAATGAAAATCAAGTCCTAAAAGACTTGTTGTATTCGGCCATAGGGAGGAATTTGGGAAAAATGTGAAAATTTTCCTATGAATTAGAAATGATATTAGAAGTATTCTATGTTATTTGGAGATCAATTTGGAACCTTGAAAATGAAAAAGGGCTAGTTTACAAGTTTTAAGGATTTTGGGACATTATTGTATAAATGTGAGATTTGGAGTATTCAATGATAATATTTAGTATTAAGATGCTGGAAAATTAAGTTACAAAGTTGGTTGGAACCAAATTTCAAGTTAGGTAAAATTTAGGGGTGGAATTCAAAAAGTCTAAGAAATATAGGAACTTGATTTCAAGTTTTTAAATGTGAAAGCACCATTTGAGTAAAATAATACACTGCTGGAAATCTTATTTATGTGCTGATTTTTTTAGTTTAAATGTTGAGTTGGGATCGAATTTCAAGTTTATCAAATTAGGTGTTGAAATTGAAAAGTTTCAGAAAGTTAAGGATGAATTTGCAAGCTTTTGAGTGTTTTTAAATATTTTATTGAGGTGATGGAAATTTTATGTTATTAATGTAAAATAATCATAATGGTAAAGGATCATTATGAAGTTAATAGAAAAGTTAAGGTGAATTCTAGAAAGAATTCATAATTAGTGGTTTGATTGTGTAGTTGGCAAATGTTGAAGGGTTGATGGAGAAAATAAATATTCATAAGATTGAATAAGTATTTTGAGAAGTTTCAAATTTTGATGGGAATATGATTTAGTTTTATATCGATTTAAGTATCGGATTTATTTCTATCGAATTTTATATTTAAGTTTAAATTATATTAGTTCAATGCTAAAATATAGTTTGAATATTTTATGATATTATATAATGTCATCAGATCAAGGTAAATCTAGTGATTCGAGTAGCTTGAAGGGAATGAAAAAGTATGGGATTGAGAAAATTATTGTAAAGAATGTTCAATAGCGAAACAAAAGTGAGTGCATTTAATTTGTGTTTGTATTATGATATAAACATTGACTTGCGATGAGTCAGTGATGGAGTTACTACGGTAAGAATTGACTCCTAATGTTATGTGAAATTGTGATTCTAGCCTAAAGGTCTATTTATTAAGCTTATAGAATTATGAAATTAAGCTAAAGAAGCTAATTAAGGAAAGTTGTCTAGAAATTTGAATTCAAACAATGTGTTTAGAAATTCACCATAAATTATACAAAATTTATTAGAGGACGATCTTTATACCGTTAGATTTTTATATCAGTCTAGATTCGTTTAAAATAGACGGTGACTGATTTCGAGTATACAAAAAGATATGAATTTTTAATCGATTATAGGTCAGAAAATAAGGCAGGAGATTTTGTAGAAACAACTTCTATCATTCAACTTTGAAAATTCCCTATAAATTGTACAAGTGGAACCAGACAGAGTGCCTTATCAGGTTATTCGTATTCGAGTTTAGTTTTCATTAGTGCAAACAAAATAATTTTTCAGTATATTAATTAATACAGAACAATATTTGTTTGATAGTAGTGCAAATTGCCAAAATATAGAATTTTGATAAATTGTATATTGAAAGTAATGGAAGACAAAGGATTTATATCTAAAGCTAAGTGAGAGTTATATTTTGATTTAAAATAATAATAATAAAGTGTTAAAGTGAATCCAATTTGTTTATTTGATTATTGTTATAGTCGAGGACGACTTGTGATAAGTCAACCTCATTTTATTTTCTAGTATAATTTATAAATTTTCAGTATGTAATGTTTATATAATATTTTGTTTTACTAAGTTTTATGAATGATTTGGGTATGAACGACCCAAGTATGATATTTATGATGATGAATTCTAAATATTTACAGTTATCAGATACAATTTAATAAATGATTATGTGACGATAAATATAAGCCCATTATATGTTGCATTGAGAGTCGTATGTACATTTAGCATGCCATTAAGTGAGTTCTTATCAGTTCAGCTTTGGTACATTCGTGTATCAATGTTCAGTTATCAGTTCAGCTTTGATACATTTGTATATCAATGTTCAACACCGTTGGTGCTTATTTAGGTTATGATTGCACTGAAGTGCATTATATATCAGTTTCAGTTATGATTCAGCACCGTGTTATGCCAAGTGCGCACCTTAAACTCACGTACATTATATTCTCTTACATATACATCGGGCTATAATAGTAAATGTGAAAGTTATGAGAGTATGTGAAAGAAAGGAACATAGAATTGAAAAGAAAGTTTTGAAACATGTTTGAATGATAAGAACAAAATTTATTTATGATATTTAATGATGACTTACATGTTTTTTTTGATGAAATCATGAGATGATGATTCTCAGGTTTTCAGAAGGAAAAACGGCATGATTAATCCGGTTTGAAGTTTTAATTGTTTTTATTTAAATTATAGTTTGTTTCTTATATTTTATGAAATTTATGGTTTTATATCTCTTTAATTATATTTCTGCCTCACTAAATTTTACTTAACGCGTGATGATTTTCATGCGTAGGTTCGAATAAAGTAGATGTCATGAAGTGAGAAGTTTGTCAGCATCTTATGCAAAATCAAACATATTGACAATATCAGTAAGACATTCTAACTTTGACTTATTAGTGATAGGTACATTATATTTGTTGGATTTTTTATCAATTTTATTTTAAAAAGGGTTTGTAATAGTAATTAGGATTATTTTTTGTTGTTTTGATTAATCTTAGTATTAATCGTATTTATGAGTGAATAATATAAAAAAGTTATATTTTAAATGGTTTAAAAAAATAAGTGGAATTAGGCCGTTGTGTTTGGATATGAAACAACACTGAACTACCTAATTATCAATTACTATTTACAGACGAAAATCAGATTAATTTTCAATGGTCAAACCTTATTTTATAAATTTATATGGTTAAGGAAAAAATGTTTTTAAGTCAAAAGGAAATTATTAAATGAAACAAAATTTTTAAGCATTTAAGTTCAACCAATGTCAGTTGAATTGACGTGACATATGTAACTCGTATTACAAGATATATATGAGTTATGGGTGTTACACGTATAATAGTGAGAATTTTCGTATAAGATTCTCATCATATTATTTCTTGATTTAGGATTATTATTATAGTGTCAATGAGAAGATGTCAGGAACATCATGTGAATTCAATTTTTCGATGATACTAAAAAATAAAGACGTATGTTAATTTTGGAATTTTCAATTAAAGATTTCATGCACTCTTGTAGTCCGAAAGTATGTAACAATTGCCATAATCTTAAAAATAATGATTGAGATAGATTATTTTAGTAAAAAAAATTGAAACATTATTTTAACCATTATTTTTTATCAAAGTAAATATTTAAAATTGTCATTATTTTCATCTAGATATATGAAGTATTTTTTTATCAAAATAAACATCTAAAATATATTATTTTCTTGATCTAAGTTCATAAAAGTTTACACGTGTTATTGATTAAAAAATACGTCAAGTATCATCGGACCATGGAGTACACTATGTCCTTGACGTGGATATTAGACGAATCTCTGTGCGTATGATTAGAGGTGTTCAAACTTTGGTTAAAATCAATTTAATTGATTAAATTGTAGTTTTTTAGATAAATCACTAGGTTAATTTTAGGATTAGTCGGTTAATGGTGGATGCTTTTTTTAAAACTTTGGTTATCGGTTAATTCAGTTAAAAATTTGTCGGTTAATCATATTAATCGAATTAATTGAAATTATTAAATATTAAATATATTATTTTTATATTAGTTTAGCCTTATCAGTGTTTAAACTTTAGTTTTAATTGAATTAAACGATCCAACTAAATGAA